AATGCCTTCTGACTCATTTTTTGCCCTGAAGTATGAAATATGATTACCTTTAACAACCCTGATTAAATGAGCTTGTTTAGCTACAAATGTAGTGAGGAGAATACCTGCTTCTTTTTTAAAACTATCCAAAGTATTTTATCTTGATTTTTTTTTTCCCCCCTTCATAATAGTATATTCAACAAACTTATGAACTTCATTCATTTTTTTCCAGAGATTTAAAAGTAGAAGGGGAGATGCAATTGATAGTAGACTGAAAGACTGTAGGAAATGAGCTTGCAAAGGGACGCTTGTTACAACTAAGCTGCATATTTCCTTTTTATATCTTTATTATAGTATGCACATAGGAATATAGACTTGTATATTAATTAATTCCTATCTGTGGTCAATAAGAAGATGAAATTTCTGATCTTGAAGTTTCTTTAGTTTTTAAGGAGAATTTCCAAAAAGTTCAGGGGATACAAGAGAGATTCAGTGCAAATTAATCTAGTTTTATATACATAAGCAACATTCTATATTATCAATTCAATTCTTATACATCATTTATCTCTTGTAGAAGAAACTGCTGATTGGGAAAAGGAATTACAACAAGAGCTTCAAGAGTATGAGGTGGTGACGGAATCAGAAAAGCGTGATGAAAACTGGGATAAAGAAATAGAAGAAATGCTACAAGAAGAAAATTAAGCATTTTCACAAAATCACTGTAACTCTAAGCTTTTTCTGAGGACTGACATGGATTTCTGCTTTCATGTTTTGCTTACAAAAGATCTTCAAAAGACAAAAGAATCTAAAATCATTATGATTCCATATGGGGATACAACCATTATTTCTGTTCTTTATATGAGCAGTTTCTGAACTTCTACGTTCTTAAAACCAAAAGACTGCAGGTTATATGTCATAATTAAAAGTGATAACATTATTACATGAAGCAGCAGTTTAGTTTGAGGCATTTTTAGGTGATCAAGAGGCTCTGCAAAGAGATTTCAAAATTTAAGAATCTCAATTTGTTTGTCTACAGCCTTTCTGCTTGGGATGTAAAAATGGATATTGTAAGTAACTTAGTTCTTGAAAATAACTCTCTCATCACATTTGCACTCTGATCCCTGTATAATCTGTAAATGTGTTTTATTTTTAAGGTACTTCTAGGTAGTACCTTTCATGTGTATTTAACTTCCTTAATGTATGTAGCCAAAGAATTTATAGAAAACCCTATCGAATAACTTCTGATAATTTGTTAAAAAAATACTAATTCTGACTCCAAAAGAAGTACTGAATGATTAACTGGCAAGCATGTAAGCATTTAAATAAGAAATTATTAACTGCTTCACTTAAAATGTTGTTTTTGTTAAATCATCATGTTAAGATACTGCTTTTCCTCAGAGAGAAATTGTTTAATTCATTCTTTATTCAGAAGTCTGTTATCTTTCCATTTAATTTTGCTGTCTGAGCGAGAGCAAATTAAATGTTTCTCTTTTATTTTAAGTGCTGAAACATATATGTAAAAACTTTGGCTGGTTTGGACATCTTTATTAAATACTGTAGATATGTATAAAATTGGCTCATTTATTTGGAGGGAGGGCAAAGTGAGGGGCAAACATTTCAGACTTACACAGGTTTCAAAAAGATACTTTGTTATAGTGCTTAAGACGTAATTTAAATAAAAAAATCGTTTCTTTTAAAAAATTTTTTTACTTGGGCATCTGGATGTTTCCTGTTTTGCCATTAAGTCAGTATCTTTATGTATATAAATGAAAATCTGATTTTCTATTTGTCTTCTATTTCATAAACTTCTGTGACAAAACATTCATGAAATTCCAAATATGAAGGGAAGAGTAAAATGGAGTAGGTAGGAGTCACTATGCCCAATTGAATTATAGGCATGTTACGTACAGTAAGTTCTGTCTTAATGACATAATTCTGCAGAAAACTTTTCTAAAAAGACTGAAAAAGATTATAGCTGTAATTATTCAGTCAGTATTCATCCCATGGGAAGTTGAAGAGAGCTAAGTAGTTTTAACTGCTGTTAACTCTAAGAAAGGACTATTTAAAATTGTCTGTTAGCAAGTTGGACAAAAAGCCCTCCTGTATTTCTCATCATGGAAAATGAATTGTTTTAAAACTGCATACATTTGAGTTCTCAAAGTAGTTTATTACGATACACTTTCTCAACTGCAAATCATCTTAAGCATGATTTGTATTTTTTAGTGTTTTTCACTTTTAGTTAACAGATGCAAGGTAATTCATGGTAAATAAGACGTACGTTAGGAGCTTTTCATATCTGGAACTAAGTAAAGGCCACAAAAGTTAAATCTGTTGCGCTCATAGAAATCAGACTATTCAAAGCTTAATGTTTACTCTTGACAAATACAAATGTGCCTAGATTTAAGCAGGAAACGTTTGACACAGCACCTTCTAAAAAGATGGATAGTTCTGTTCTGATAGTGGCAAGTCTTCCCCAGATGACTTGGAGCTCAAAATCACTGTTTCAAATATCCACTTTCTTAAAAACCAGCCTGATCATTCCTCGTGTTTTCAGATATGTGGCAGGTTTATTTGCATGGGGTTTGTACATCAAGCCTCATCTTTCTTTTCATGTGAGCATAGCCTATATAATGATTATAGATATAAAACTCCATCTTTCACAAAAGAGAGTTCCTACATATAAAACCTTAGTTTTCCAAGTCTCATGAAAAGCAAGTATATGTAAAAAACCCCACTATTTTAATTTGCATTTTAAAAGGCAATAATGTAGCAAGGCTTTATCTGGCTGAGCTCTGATATTAAAAAACTCTTTATCAAAAATCATCTTAATATGAGAACAGGTTGCCCAGAGAAGCTGTGGATGCCCCCTCCCTGGAAGTGTTCAAGGCCAGGTTGGATGAGGCTTTGAGCAACCTGGTCTAGTGGAAGGTGTCCCTGCTGATGGCAGGGGGGTTGGAACTAGAAGAACTTTAAGGTCCCTTCCAACCCAAACCATTCTGTGATTCTGTTAATATTTTCAAATCTGCATATCTAGTTTTAACCTGGAAAGCTGAAGGAAGTTTTGTGTAATCCTGCAGTTTTCAGGACTAGCCCATGCCTTTCACTTAGGTTAGTGCTACAACTGCCTAGCAGTTTTAATTGTGCATGGTGAGAGGGAAGGTGTCTGCGTTGCACTCATCACGAGATGAACAGAGGTGACATGTTCATGGTGAATTTTGTAGGCCTTTGTAGCCCAAATGTCCCTTAATAATGTATTTCATAAGCAGATATGCTGGGACGGTGCAGATGCTAAAATCTAGCAAAACAGCAACAGCACAAAATCAAGGACAAAACCAAAAGAAACCAAGAAGGAATGTAAATAATACCAACTTGTGGAGATAATGTAACAGAAAATGCAGTTGTATAAAACATTGAGGAAAAGCAAAGAAACAAATAAAGTTTTCTTAGAAGAAACTAGATTTGCAGATTTTGGAATTAGCCTTTGAGGAACAGGGAAAAAGGTTGTTCAGGATACATTTAGGTTAGATTAGAACAGTGATACAGCTTTCTGAGATGCCAACATCTTCAGTTATTCTGTGCACCAAAGTATCCTGTTGAGCTATTAGTTTACTAGTTCAGTTGCTATTAGTTAATATGTGTATGGAATTTTTTGACTCGGTAATTTGTTTGGAGGAAGAAGAGGAAAGATCTTAAAAAACTGGAATAAAGAAAGTGTAGTAAAATATTCCCCTACATTTTGATTCAATCATTTACAGCAGCTCTTTAAACAAAATTACCTAAATTTTTCAATTTCCTGAATTGTTTCAGTAAACTTTGAATTTCTTTAGTTTTTCAGTTCAGTTGGGTCATAAAACTTTTTCTCCTTGCTGTTTGGTTATCTTGGTGTTTGGCAGGGTTACGTCTGTAGTACTGAAGTGCAGGATGTCAATTTTAACCTCATGCATTTAAAGAATAACCCTATGTACAGGAGCATATCACCTGACCACGAGATGCATCCTTGAACTGTTGGCCACTCTCATATTACTGACTTTTACTTTGCAATAGGTATTGCATAAAAGGGAACAAAGTGTGCCTGGTTACTTAGCGGTGCGCTGCCAAGCAATAGCAGCCACATCGAGCCCTCAGTCCGTGTGCTGTATCTAGCATATAGATGAATAAACACGGTGTTGAGAACCACACTGATAATGGTCTGGGTTTCGATTCAGCAGAAGTTTAGAAGAAAGATGTATTGTATGGCCTGATACTGTATGTCTCAGGAAGTGGTGACTGACACATCTGTAACAACTGCATAGTAGCCTACCTAGCCTTAAATAATATTATCCATTAGTAGATTTTTGTTCCAAACTACTTATTTTCAATGGTTTTTTTTCCTTTGTTTTAAACGTTACGGGTTTTTTTTGTTTTTTAGATCAGCATTCCAGTTTTTAAAAATGAAATGGCAGGTAACAGTGAGTTAATTTCTTACTATCTTTTCTTTGTATTATATTAAAGTTAATTATTTCAGAAAACAAGAATTCCTACAAAAACATCAGAAGATATGCATGGCTTAATTTTCTTCTCAGTATAGCCCGATATTGGCTCTATGTATATACATACGAAGACTATGCATATATATGTAAATGTAAAGCCACATGTATTAGTGTCTCTAAATATATTCAGAAAATCATAATGTACTTTTCAGCTGTTAATTTTAACTAGATACCATTGTGAGAGGAGGAGCAACCAAAATAATTATCATTAGTTTGTCACTCCATCATTTTTAATGAGACAGCGCTCTGCAGAAATTATCTGGAAGAATGAATCACTTGCTTCATTTTGTAAAAGCCTGGTTTTCATTATGGCACAGATTGGGAATGTTTTCCATTGCTAATTCAGGGATTCGTGAAGCTATGAGAAACCTCTCCAGGTACACTTGAGAGGTATGCTTAATCCAAAAGTACATGGGCAGAAAGTTTGCTTTTTCTCAATGTAAGTGCTCCTGACAAAGTAGGGAACGACAGAAGAAAAATGCAGGTAGTTAAGGGTTACATATAAAATTAAAAGAGTAAAGATTTGATGCCTGCTTTGATATATGATGCTCTAAAGAAAACCACGTTTGGCATGGGATATTTTAATTGTATGCATACACAAAACCTTAATTCTGCAGTTGCTTTTATTTCTTTGTTCTCTTAAGCTCTGGTTTCCATACTCAAACATGAAGTTTCAGAGCCAGATAAAGCTGCTGTTTCTCTGCATTTTCCATCCTTCCCGAGGAGAAAGGAGCCCAGTTTACCTCACGGTCAAATAATGGCCAGTGAATAGATTGATTACACCCAGCTTCTTGTGCCACTTATGTTTTAATACTGGCCCTGTGCCCTTTCATGACTTTGATGCCTGCAATTTAAACATCAAACAGTTTTGCTTTTGCTGTATCATCATTGCCTTGCATCCTGTCTCATGTGTAACAAGACTTTCAAGCCCATCGTGTGTTGGGTGGATGAAAGTACTGCTGTAAGAGCATTACTGGGGTGGAGAGGAGCCTCTGCAGACATTTCGTGTGGATGTGGCAACAACAATCTCAGAGGGATGTGGTGTCAAAAAATTATTGGGCATGTGAATGGAAAAGCTGAAACCATTGCCTAAGCAGGCAAAAATACTGGTGCATAGGATCTTTCAGGTGGAGGAACTGGTGTATTGGGAACAGTTCAGGTCTCTCTGGCTACAGATATACTAGTCAACTGATACGTCTAAGCATGTGTTGAGAACTGAATGCCTACAAACAGAAAGATCCCTAAAAATGCTTCTCCTGAGCCAAGTAGCAATCTCTTAATCTGCTCCTGGCCACTGAGTTATTCCCATTGGGGCTGGTGAGCAACCCAGCTTTGGAGGCCAAGCCGACTGCATCTCCTTGGTCTGGGTGCTGGAGGACAATCACTGGCAGATTTAACTTATGACCCCAAGCATAGCATCTGGCTTGGGTGTCCTGCCTCCAGTCCTGGCTGGTGTAAACAACGACATGAGCAGCAGCGTTAGGATAAGCAGCGCCAGAGTTCACCGGATCCCCAGACCAACCGC